CCGTCTTTGACTGTCAGATTTGTAGAGCACCAAATCTGTTAAGGAAGCAAAAGGCATATCTTTATTTTGACAGTGGGACCATGCATGTTGTAAAAAAGGGATTCCAGTATTATTGAAATAACCAGAGTTGCTGCCAGACTATAAGGTAATTTGGTTGGGAAAGTGAAATCCTGCTTTGCTCCATAGCCTGGCAGGCTGGCTTCTGCCTGTAACCTGGCATTTGTTGACTTTGGTAGTGTAAGGACTTGTTTGCCATCTTGCTGAGTGTAGCAGTGTGTGCTGTTCATGGTGGGTGTCTGTTTGAAGCTCTGGGCAGCTCTTGGCTCTTCAGAGCCTGATGATGAGCTGCTCCATATTTGGACTGTATATTTACAGGCCCTTTCCTGTGGCAGCACTGGGACTGTGATAAGTGGGAGGAGGCCCACTAGAAATCTACTCAAGCAGGTCTAATTGTACCAAATAGAACAGCTCAGTAGAGTGGAAAATAGTCCTTATATATCTACCCGAAGAAGATAATGACCTTTTAAATAACAGAAGCAATTTTATTTCAATACCCCAATTACTCTGAACTCTCAAATGTCAAAGTGCCAAGCTCTTTCAAAATAACTTAATTTAGACATTTATAGCACTTAGACACTGCTAGTTTCTTATCTAACCTAATTATGGGTTGTACAGGAAATTGCAAAGCATCCCAATTAATGTTATTTTTTATAGTGATACATAGGAGTGGCCTTTGCCATTTGCCATCGTCATGTGCACAGTGATTTACTAATTCTGTCTTTTGAGTTAGTTCCCCGGCAGGACAGAGCTATTCTATGTTCTCGTTGCTCTTTGAGAGCAAGCAGGGAGGAAGTAGAGGTAGAAGTGAGCATAGCTATGTTTGCCTGAGGGATCTGAAGGGCACGTTTTCCCATGAGAGCAGAGGGCCATGGCAAGACAGGACCAAAATTTAAGGTGTAGAGGTGCCATATAAAATAATAATAATGCTGGCTGTCAGTCTTGTTGATCTTCTCTGATCTGAGTATTTAGGCCAGGATTCTCCACTTACTTGTCTCCTGCAGGACTAGTGCAGGGGAATAAGATTTGTAAAGCTTCTTAACTGGCTGCCTGAAAAATCCCCTCAAATACAGGCCTGAGCAGTTCCCCTTCTAGTTCCTGTGCACAGCAGGAAGAATCAGAGGGGGGAAAGTGGTGTTACACCACTGAGCAGTGTCCAGTGACTCCTTGTTTGCTTTTACGGCAAGGGGAGGTCACATTTCTAGTTACCATGTTTGAAAGTGGTAACTGTTGCCCATCCCCATGTAGTTTTTGCCCTGTGTATTTTATGTGATGTCTTGGTCCTGTGCTGTGTCCTCCCCCAGTGTCAGGAGAGAACTGTTAGCTGTCAGAGAAGTTCCTGCAGCCCTCCTCTTTCTTGAGAGTAATCCAAAAGGATCAATGGCTAAATTCTCAAAGAAAGATTTGGGGCTGTGGGTACTATGTACTGTAGCTGCTGTCACCTGTGCCCAAGACCATGCCAGCCAAGAACAGAAAGACAGAAGCCCCAGAATGTGATCTTGTCTTGTGCAGCAATATATACAGAGTCCTAAAGCACCATTGTATTCTCATTTGGTTCCTTATGGTAAAATATAGCTGCAGACAAGATAGGATTTTAACATGGCTTAACAACTGAAATTAAGTCCAAGAGGGACAATTTGAGTTCCACTCAACAGCTTGTGTTCAAGAGGGGCACAGGGAACAGGCATGCAGGGACGTAAGAAGTCCCTTTCCCCAAAGATTTTCCCTAGCCAGGACCAGAACCCAAGTGAACTTGCCTGGGGACCCTGTGCACATGACCTCTGACCTCGAGGGTAGGGAGGCTCTGCAGAGACCTGGACAGGCTGGAGCCATGGGCTGAGCCCAACTGGAGGAGTTTCAATGAGGCCAAATGCCGGGGGCTGCCCTTGGGCCACAACAACCCCCAGCAGCGCTACAGGCTTGGGGAGGAGTGGCTGGAGAGCTGCCAGTCAGAGAGGGACCTGGAGGGGTGATTGACAGCCGGCTGAACAGGAGCCAGCAGTGTGCCCAGGTGGCCAAGAAGGCCAATGGCATCCTGGCTTGTGTCAACAATAGCGTGGCCAGCAGGGACAGGGAAGGGATCTTGCCCCTGTACTCGGCACTGGTGAGGCCGCCCCTCGATTCCTGTGTTCAGTTTTGGGCCCCTCACTACAAAAAGGACACTGAATGACTCGAGCGTGTCCAGAGAAGGGCAACAAAGCTGGTGCAGGGTCTGGAGCACAGGTCGTACGGGGAGGGGCTGAGGGAACTGGGATGTTTAGTCTGGAGAAGAGGAGGCTGAGGGGAGACCTCATCGCCCTCTACAGCTACCTGAAAGGAGGGTGCAGAGAGCTGGGGATGAGCCTCTTTAACCAAGTAACAAGCGATAGGACAAGAGAGAATGACCTCAAGTTGTGCCAGGGAAGGTTTAGACTAGATATTAGGAAGCATTTCTTTACAGAATGGGTTGTTGGGCGTTGGAATGGGCTGCCCAGGGAGGTGGTGGAGTCCCCATCCCTGGAGGTGTTCAAGAGTAGGGTGGATTTAGAGCTTAAGGATATGCTGTAGGTGGGAACTGTGCTAGGCGAACGGTTGGACTAGATGATCTCCAGGGTCCTTTCCAACCTAGATGATTCTGTGATTCCTACGTCCCTGGTGTGAGATGCAGGACAGTCCCAGGTCCTGCACAGCAGGGAAAAATGCCATTTGCATTGACTAACTGTGTCATGTACTAAAATGAAAACCTGAGCATGTCTCAGCTGGAAGCTCAAAAAGGGCTGCCAGAACATTTCTCACCGGGGTGGTGAAAGACTGAAAAGCAAACAGCCCAGCAAAGCTGGTGAGGAACAAGAAAGACTTAACACAATATAGTGCCAAGACAAGTTGGATTCTTGCCCTACCTATTGCTACGCAGTCAGTAAAGCACATTGCTTCAGCATTTAGCCTTTGAGTGGAAATGCTGGAATATGAAACTGCTGTGAAGTTTGTTGAAAGAGCTGAGACAGCCAAGGAGAGGGGTTGTTTGAGATCCACATGTTGGAGCTATGGTGTGTTTTGTGCAGGTGTTTCAGCAGGTGTTTTCCTCTGTGTGCCAGCTCAGAACCCAACGTAACTATTCCCTGAATTTCCAGGGCTGTTTTCTCTGGAATAATATGTTAATCTTTTCCAGAGAAGCAGTGTTGGGAATCATTTGTTCTTTACAAGTGGAAAGTCTGACAGAATTGAAGTTGTTAATTCTCTTTTCAACCTCCCCTTCGGTAGTCTTCAAATATGGAGACGGCTGTTAAGGGGAAAGGGAGATGTTCTGTGTGTCTCCTGGGGAAAAGGCAAGAAGATACAGCCTATATGCTAAGAAACTTTTTGACTGATTAAGGCTGTGGAAATGGGTGGTGAGGAGAGTATGGAACCTTATCACTGTAAATTTCTAAGAAGAGGTTAGACCAATGTCTACCAGGTTAAGTCAGGATGAGTTGGTCCAACCTTGAGATCAAATGGTAGACTAGCTGACATCTCAAAATCTGTTCTATCTCCATTTTCTCTTTTTTTCTGAGAGGAATAACACAAACTTGGTGTCTTCTATTGACATGCAGTCTTTTGATCTACCCTGCCTCCCAACCAGTAGTGTCAAACCAGGTGGTGGAACAAAACACACCAATAAGTGTATTTCAGATTAGTGCAGGAAATCAGAAGAGCAATTGTTATGCAGTGGAATTTAGGAATTTTGTTTTGCACTGACAGGTTAGACTGAAGCCAAAAAGGAGCTTTTCACCTTGATGTCACTTACCAGAGATGTTTTGGAGAGACCTTAAAAAGCAGAATTTGACCTACAAATCAAATATCAAATGAGACCTCATCTGATCTGAGTCCTGCTATGCCAGCAGAATCTGGCCAAACCCTGGCTAAGGACACAAGTTTATTGAACTTCTTAATGAAGAGAACCCTGAAATTATGTTACAGTTATTCTAAAACAAATAATTTGCTTGTAGTTACAGAGATAATGACATTCTGACCACACCTACCAATTAGAAAGTTGTAATAAAGAGTAATAAAACACCTTTTCCTTGGGCTGCAGAATCAACCCACACACAGCCTGCAACACTAATATGATTTACTCCTATTTGCTGATGGAGGATTCTGGTAATAAAATTTAATGTGAAGGAACAAGGTGCATTTAACCAAAGCTGTAAACATTTCTAATCCTATTTAAAGCTATAGGGTGGAGTACATTAACATTTAATAATGTGATACTAAATTGATGTGAAGCAGATAGAGCTGTATTTGTTAAAATTTCAGCACTAGGCCATGTTTTACTGTGACAACAGGAGTAACCAAAATAGTATGACTCAGCAGACTCTGACTGCTGTTTAATAAGGTATTAAGGGTCTTCATGGCAGCTCCTGTCATAAAAGAACAGTGGCCCACGTTCAGCTCTGCTGCCATTCTGCTGAAGCCAGAGGGAGTTAGGCCAGAAATTAAATTTGGCATTGTGGTTCCTGTTAGAAGGAGCTAAATTCAACTTACACTCTATTTCTCCCACTAAAGTATATTATCCTCAGTGAAATTTTCTTCTCCATAGTCTTTCAAGTGAGTTGCTTTGATAAAGATCTACAATTAATTGCAAAGTAAAGGCTGATGTTTTTCTTTCTCCAATTATATGATCTGACATTATTAAATCTGGGTGGACACTGCATAAGAAAAGGCATAGGAAATGTCTTCTCAGGAAGGTGGGTGTTCTCCTAAGTAGTATTTCTGGCCTCCTTCCACTCAGCCGGTCTGTTGTCTTTCAGGATTCTGCTGTCATATGAAGTCAGTCACAAATGAAAAACATTTTAAAATCAGGGAATTTTCTGCAGAATGAAAAATTCAATTCCCACCTATTGGGATTGTCTAAATGCTGAGCACAAGATAAACACATATCCTCAAATCATTCTCTAGCAAACAACAAATCCTACACAGACTGAGAAAACTTATCTTACCAAAAAAAAGGTAATTTATTTAGCTCAATAAACTATTATTTTTTGGGAATTAGATATCAAACATAAACAAGACTATATAGAATATTAATACACAAAGAATGGTATTCATTAAAATATTGGGCATAGACATACAGTAGAGGATTTTTCTGAACACTGGGCACAATGTCCAATTGTATGTAAAAGGAATGTTTATATACCAAACTTTAGAATGTTTTAACTACTAAGTGGTTGACTGATTAATGTTAGGGTTTTATTTTTAATTTCAAAGGAATTACTAATAAGTTCTATACTTCCTTACAGCTGACTGCAATACAAGATGTCCTCTCTGAATTGTCAGTCAGACTCTGGCTGTTCCAAAACTGATCCCTGAATGTTTGAGCACTCTTTAGCACCAATTTCTTTTTGGTCAGTGAGTTGATTGCTGTTGTTATTGAAAGTCCATCAACCGTTCAGAAAACAAGGAAAGATACCATTCCTTTTTGGTGGGTGATTAAACTCCTGGGATAATGAAAAGATGAAACAAACATTTCCTTGCCAGCTTGCAAATACAAACATTAAAAATGCAAACAATTACTAGCAAAACCTATTGATAAAAGCTGGCCTTAGTTTGGAAAGAACTGTTTGGATGAGGGACTAGAGTTGGAATTAGTACCATACGTAATGGCCAGCCTGATAAGCTTTTCTTAATTTTTTTTTTCATACAAGAGAATTTTAACCAACATGGAAGCAGGTGACTGTGTTTTACATTTACACATCCTGACTATACAGTAACAGATTCTGTATGCTGCCTAATCTCTATCCCTTTTTAAAAAAGTTAAAAACCAGTTTATACAGACTCTCTTATTCTGGTCAAACCCTCCAAAAGGCAGTGATGTGCTCTCTCCCTTTGTCATGTGTCCCCATCCCTGCAATGTCACCACTGCCTTCCTCTCCTGCGCTCCCACAGAGTAACAGGAATAAGGGTATGTGTATTCCCACAATGGTTCCCAGCTGTCCTCTAAGCCCTGGTTGGAAGTGGCTGTATCACTAAAAAGGCCTGACCTGTGAAGGAGGAAGCAACTTGGATCACCTTGGTTAGGATTTCAAAACCCAAGGGCTACAAGTGCTACTCCAAAATCCACACTAAATACTGCTGAATGAGTGACCTCCCAGACCTGGAGAAGAGCTGGCACATTCCAAGTATCAGATCCGCATGCTCTGATGGTGAGCTAAAGAGCCCATGCTTTTGCATCTCCATTAACTGTGCAGTTAGTCAAGGGCTAAAGCTTCCTAAGGGCTGAAAGATGTTGAGTACCCAACTCTCCCTGATCTGTGGTGGAATCTGGGCATTGGAAATTTAGAAGCTTGAAAACATCGGTCCAGCTATCCTTCATGACTGAAATGCCCAGGCTGCCACAGAATAGCCTGCTTTCCATGAATGTCTATCACAGGAAAAGGAAGAATCCTCTCTCACTTACCAAGGGGTGAAGAAAGAGGAAAAACATTTTGTGCTCTCACATTAGGCTCATTTCCCTATCTCCTGAGCCCTGGTCTTTCCAGAGAAATAACACCAGAGTAGGGCATTAACAGACTCTGCTCTATACCAAAGCAGAAGCTGTGTAATTTTTCCTCTAGATCAGTAGCTCAGTAATGTATGCCACAGGAGGAAACTTCTGCAGGTTTGGAAGCACCAATCTAAATCAAGGCCAAAACCAGTGTCCTGGTTCTGTCAAAGTCTTTTACTCACTATCAAGTTTTTCCTGTTCCCAATCAGAATTACTAAAAGATTAAATCCTGGAAAATGTTCCTAAGCTATAAATATTCTTCCTTAAAACATTGGAGTTTAACTATAAATGTTTCCTCTGGATTATTTTGAAATGGTTGATTTCAAGCACTTAAGGAGAACTTGACTAAAAATAACAAGTTGTTTTAAGGCAATCTCATTTAGAAAGTAAATTTGAAAATACAGAAACCATATGTTTTTATAACTATTTCTAGAGGGGAAAAAAAGCAGAAGTAATTTTAGCTTTTCCTCTTCCTTAGCTGTAGAAAAAAGTCTCAGCTTTACTGAGCTAATATTTTTCTGATGGGATAAAGAGCATTAAATTGACAAATTTTCTGATCAGTAGTCTTTATTTTCAGAAGCAGGCTGATATGCATGGCTCCTGTCACTAGTCCTTCGGAGGCTTGCTAAGATGTTGATGTTTGCAACTGGAGTCATATTGGCATCAAAGAAGGAATAATGTTCAGTACTGAAAATGCCCCAGGTGGAACTTCAGTTCATTTAAAGGAGAGGGGATGAACACTACAAAAGGTGTCTCTGGGATGTCACTTTTAGACAAGCTGCTTTTCCTATGATTACTTTCAAGTACATTTCATTAAAAGTATCATAGAGAAATAGAAGTGCATGAATGGAAATAAAAAAAATAAGGACATTTGTATGGTTTTTATAAATAAACAGCACAGCAAGAATTAAATAGAACACAGACAAAGGACATTTATATAGGCATGAACTATTACAGCTTGTTCTCCTCAAAGAGTATCTGTGCATAGACTGTCGTACTGGGAATGCCTTTGGCTTCCTGAATCGGCTTCATAAGTTCAAGTTCAGCGTATGTTAAATTCTCCTCTGCGATTTTTGGCTAGGAAACAGAACCAACAGATTACAGTTATAATGTCGTTACCACTGGATATAAATATTCTATAGAATGGTCTATATTTCTTTTCTCACACATGCTAATTCTACTATGCTGTTAATCAGTTTAGTTTGCACTAGAGTTAGTTCATAGAAGAGGAAATAAAAATATTAAAAATAAGAAACAGGAAATACGATTTTCAGGTTCATTTCCAATTTCCCTTTGCTTCTCAAGCATTGAATATTTTGATTTGACAATTCAAATATTGCAGATTTGAAAGATGTTTGTTAGCAAAATGTTCAGCATCTTTAATCCTAAATTTCCCAATTTAATTTTAGTTATTGGAGATTTTGCAATTTGAAATATATATATATATATATATATATATATATGCCAGATTTGCTTTCTAGCTGTAAACCTTGCACCAGTTAGATCTCTAATCACAGCCACTCCCAGTACCTCTCATTATGTTTCTTAACAGAACAAAAACCATGTTAAAAATATACAGAGAGTGGTAAAAACTGATAGAATTCAGTTACTGACATTCCAATGGGATTTCATCACTTTTGTCATGCTGGATGAGTTCAGTTTAGAACAAAGGCCATACCACCAAAGCCGTCTGATGTATTACAGTGGTCGAGTTTCAGACTTAAAACTATAAAACTTAGAGAGATGTTATCAAGAAAATCTACAGAACAAATTTCACATAGGTGATAGAAGAGCTGCTTACTGCTATTGGGGACTTCATATAGACACAGAGTGGTGGCTTAAAGGAGGAAAGTCTTGTGTTCCTTTGTGTGTGTTGGCTGATCAGTTGGAATTGAGTTGTTCCTATCAAATTCACCTCATGAAATGTAGCGACAAGCAAAAGACTTGCTGTGGAACTAGGGGACCTAATGCTTGAAATGGATTTCAGTTCATCTGTAGAAGACTGAAGTCTGTGCTTCCGGAAGAAAGGTGAAGTGCTAAGGCCCTGTGCAAGTGAAGAACTGGAGAATTTGTTCTTTTATCTGCTTGAGTACTGTTTTCTACCTGAACATAACTGGTGTCCTCAAGTTTAAGCCTAAAAAGGACAATTAAAACAAAACAAAGAACATTTCAGCCATGTGATTTTTTGCAGTCACAAGAGTATGCCTCATAGAAAAGGGTTGCATCACTGAGACCAAGAAAGGCTCTGCCAGTTGTAAACTGAAAACTGATTCAAACTTCATAAACCAAGGTTTTCCATGCAGGACTTAGTTATAATGAAGAAATTGACAATATTTTCCAGTGCCCAGAGTTTCCTTTATGTTTTATTACTGCTATTTATTTCTATTTAACATGTTATTTCTGTTTCCTTGAAATGTGTTTGACTAATTACTATATTGTGTTCTGGCTAAAAATCCAAACATCTAACATCCTCTGAAATCAGTCCCTGTGCTCTCCTGCTTCCTGTCTTTTGCACTGCTCTGGAATCCTCTCGTTTTGCCTTGACAGTGGCTCACACTCTGAATTTCAGATTGTTTCCCTCTGAGTGGATCAGTTTACACTTTTCCAGCATTAATTTCATCTTATTTCTTCTCTGCAGGTCTGATCCTGAAATACTTTGTGCAGCTGCTGCTGCAAGTGGTGTCAGTGAAGTCAGTTGATCTGTGCATGCAGGGCTAACTGTCTGCAGAACTGTAATCTTTGCATTTGATTATTCACTGGTCTTCTCTCCCCCTCTTGCACGGGTAGCCCTATTTGATCTCAGCTTCTGTTCCTCATTCACCGTCAAATGCTCCACTGTTGACTACATAGAACATTTCCTTCTGTCATTGAATTCTCTGGTGTAACGACGTAAAGGGACTTCCTGGAGATCCCAGCCTGATCTTGTATGTAACATAAATAAAATCACATGTTTCTTTTCTTTGTTCATGTATTGGGACTGAGCCACATCTAGAAAGACATCTGTCCTATCCTGGCTTTGGTTTAAAGAGTTAGAAAAACTCTCAGTCAACTGCTCTGATACTTCATTAATTTTTCTATTCCTCTCTTCTTTCTAGCCTGAGAGTATTAGCCTTAGTTCCTAGGCATTTAAGTTGGTTTTGCCCTTTATGATATGTTAAAGATTTCTTTTGAGATTTCAAAACGATATGTGCCATCTACTCAGTAGGTAGTACAGAGGCTAAATACAGGAGTTAATTTGAGGCTGGATATCACAATAACACCAGAAACTACTGAAGACTTTGTCCTCAGTGTATGATAGCACATCTAGTCTCTAATTGAAGGTATTAAGAGTTTTACTGGCCAACTTCAGTGGGTATCACCTCAGACCCTCAATACAGAATGATGCACTGCATGTAAAAAGCTTCCTACAAAGCAATCTGACAAAACACCAGGCTGCCTGTATGGATGAACAAGGAGCTTCTGGACTAACTCAAACACAAAAAGGAAGCCTAGAGAGGGTGGAAGCAAGAACAAGTAGCCTGGAAGGAATACAGAGAAATTCCCTGAGCAGCCAGGAATCAGGTTAGGAAAGGCAAAGCCCTCATAGAATTAAATCTGGCCAGGGACATCAAGGGCAGCAAGAAAAGCTTCTGTTGGTGATAAAGATGGGAAAATGTGGGGCCTCTCCAGAAGGAATCAGGAGACCTGGTTACCCAGGATATGGAGAAGGCTGAGGGGCTCAATGAATTTTTGCCTCAGTCTTCACCAGCCAGTGCTCCAGCCACACTGCCCAAGTCATAAAAGGCAAAGGCAGGGATTGAGAGAATGAAGAAACACCCACTGAAGAAGGACATCTTGTTCAAAACCATGTAAGGAACTGAAGGTGCACAAGTCCTGGGGCCTGATAAGATGCATCTACAGGTCCTGAAGGAACTGGTAGATGAAGTGGCTAAGCCGCTATCCATCATATTTGAGAAGTCGTGGCAGTTTGGTGAAGTTCCCACTGACTGGAAAAAGGGAACAAAAGAAGACACGGGAAACTACGAGCCAGTTAGTTTCATGTTTGTGCCTGGCAGATCATGGAGTAGATTCTCCTGGAAACTATGTTAAAGCACATGGAAAATAAGGAGGTGACTGGTGACAGCCAATACAGCTTCACTAAGGGGAAATCGTGCCTAAAATATTTGGTGGCCTTCTATAACAGGGTTACAACACTAGTGGATAACGGAAGAGCAATTGATGTCATCTACTTGGACTTGTGCAAAGCATTTGATGCTGTCCTGTATGACATCCTTGTCTGTAAATTGGAGAGACATGGATTTAACGAATGGACCACTCGGTGAGTAAGGAATTGGCTTGATGGTTGTACTCAAAAAATTGCAGTCAATGACTTGATGTCCATATGGAGAGCAGTGACAAGTGGTGTTCCTCAGGGGTCAGTGCTGGGAGCAGTGCCATTTAACATCTTTGTCAGTGACAGGGACAGTGGGATCGAGTGCACCCTCAGCAAGTTTACTGACAACACCAAGCTGTGTGGTGCAGTAGACATGCTGGAGGGAAGGGATGTGCCATCCAGAGGGACCTGGGCAGGCTCAAGAGGTGGGCCCGTGCAAACATCATGAAATTCAACAAGACCAAGTGCGAGGGTCAAAGCAATCCCATGCAGAAATACAGGCTGGGCAATGAGTGGACTGAGAGTAGCCCTGTGGTGAAAGACTTAGGGGTATTAGTTGACAAGAAGCTCATGTGCACTTGCAGCCCAGAAAGCCAACTGTATCCTGGGCTGCATCAAGAAAAGTGAGGCCAGCAGGTCAAGGGAGATGATTTTCCCCCTCTACTCCAATCTCATGAGACCCCCACCTGCAGTTCTGTGTTCAGCTCTGGGGACCCCAGCATAAGAAGGACACGGACTTGCTTGCACAAGTCCAGAGGAGGCCACAAGGATGATCAGAGGGCTGGAGCACCTTCCTATGAGGGCAGGCTGAGAGAGTTGGGGTTGTTCAGTGTAGAGAAGAGAAGGCTTTGGGGACACCTTATAGTGGCCTTCCAGTACTTAAAGGGGGCCTGCAGGAAAGAAGGGGAGGGGCCCTTTACTAGGGAGTGTAGGGATAGGATGAGGGGTAACAGTTCTAAACTGAAAGAGGCCAGATTTAGATGAGATATAAGGAAAAAATTCTTTACTGTGAGGGTGGTGAGACACTGGAAGAGGTTGCCCAGAGCAGTTGTGGCTGCCCCCTCCCTGGCAGTGTTCAAGGCCAGGTTGGACGGGGCTTTAAGCAACCTGATCTAGTAGAAGGTGTCCCTGCCACAGGCAGAGAACTAGATGATCTTTAAGGTCACTTCCAACCCAAGCCATTCTATGATTCCATGATTCTATGAAAACTTTACAAACAAGCTGTTGGTCACTGTCAGAGTAAAATTCTACATTTCCTAAGATTGACCTTGTGCATCTTTTGAAGTAGAAATATTTTCATTGTTCTGTAGAAATCAGTTGCTCAGGGCAAGTTAAATCTGTATATGCTTTCCCCTTTGATGTTTAATTGTATTTCATGTTAGGTTTCCATTTAGAAAATGCTGCATGTCCTAAAATAGCCACTCCAACACCCAGCTCATGTAAATTTTAGAACTAAGTTTTATGAAATCATATTGTCCAGGTGTTTTATTATATTATCTCAAAATTGCATTGTTTTCTAGTGTAGATTATCTCTTTATTCTTACTTTATTCTATTATGTTTGGATATGAAAAATAACACTAGATTCCCCAAAACAAGTCATTGGGCAGTAGTGGCTGATGTGTTGCTTTCATACATTTTTATGATGTTCCTATAGTAAACATAATTTAATAAAACCAAAACACACTAAATAAATAATTGCATCTAGAAAAGCAATAAAACCAAATAAAATTAGTACTTTCATAAGTGGAAAAGGTACTTCAATTACTGCTACAAGCAACAGCACACCATAAAATGTGTAGAATAATTTCCCTTATGCATATTTCTAGTATGTAATAATTTGATTGAAAATATGAGGAAACACACAGGAGGTTCAAAATTGTGAAGGGTATACAGTTTTCAGCAAAGGATGCGTAATAACAGTGC